TTTTTTCCAACCATACAAAAGCCCTTATTTGATCTTCGCATATTAGTGAATTGTGTGTGAAAATTACTGAATATTGTCAGTCGGTTTCACCCAACGGCCTCGTGCCACCAAATTTATTTTCATTTCCTGTGCGCAATCAAATTGCCCGTATGAAGTAAATGTTTGGTGTGCTAACTTCCGTTTTACAAGGGTTTCTGTTTTATCTAAATAGACATTTTACCTGCAGCTCAGGAATTGATTTATGTAACTGATCTAGTAATTTGCAGTACATAATATTCTAATTGCCAAATCTAAAAAGTTCGCTTGGGTAATTTAGCTAGAATAATATATGTAATAATCTCGTAGAAGATGCAAGGTTATCTGAAAATCTCATGTCATTCCAACGACTGCTTTCCACATTTTGCGGAATTCCAAATTATTGAAGATTACTAATTTTGGAGAAAAATTATAAAAAACTTATGCAATTAAAATGTTTCTCTTGTAATTAACAACATAGTAGGATAAATATTAGTCTAAAAATGTGAACTGAGTTCTTTTACTCGTTTTTACGATTTTAGCTCCTATCTTGAAACGGGCTACCTGGTTGAATATCTCGGTTTACCTCCTAAAGTGCGATGGTAATCCAACTACTACTTTACAAAATATCTTTTACTAGAAATAATCACACGAATCTTGAACACAAATGTTTTCAATGTTACTAAGAAAATAAATATAATGTATGTAATTTATAATAACTAGAAATTAGTGTACCTATTTCATCCCGACTTCTTCAATCAATTCAGAATAGCCAACAAGTTATCCGACACCATTTTATTCTCGGTAATTCGAGTGTCATAAGAAAGTCAATATTTTGTTAACTGATGCTAATATTGGGTAATGACATCAATAAATTACGCTGTAGCGAGCTAGGTATAACATAGAGATGTGTCACCATGCTGTATTTTTATATCTAGCTACACTAGGTTTGTTTCAATTTTAACCTGCCAACAAAATTTCATTGACATGGGTGGACTTTGTCCGTCGGCCAGACGATTATGATCTTTGGTTGTCCAATATCAAAGTCGTTTCTGTTTTGAGTGGTAGAGGACGTCCAAAGGTCGTGTTTAGGCTGGAAATATTGAAAACAAGAAATCTATTTTTGATTTAAAAGAAAACTATTATCCTACGATGCATTTTACATTGTCAAGAGTGGACTTTGTAAGACGAAGGCGAATATTTCTAGATGTTCGACATCAAGGTCATTTTCGTTTCGCGTGGGAGCAATGTTCAAGGGTCGCGATTCCACTATTTTAAAAGGAGAACACATTTAAAAAGTTGTTTTTAAAAATAAAACTCGTAAATATTGTTACATATTTTCTAAATTGTCACTGGACTAGTGGACTTATTTTGACAGTTGTTTTTAAATTTGAAACACATTTGCAAAGAAATTTCCAAGATGGTGTGCAAAAACTTGTTATGAATGAATAAATGCTTCTAGAGTGATCATGAGGTCTTATTAAACGAAGCCGTAGTAAGGGCAGCCACCCCAAGGAAATATGTTCGAACTAAATAGTAATTAACATAAATCTTTGAATCTATATTGATATATCACCACCCTAACTACTTAAGTGTCATCTACAGCTGTCAAGGTCGGCTCATTTTTTTATAGCGCAGACGCGACACGGAACTTGAAATTCCCTTTTAGGTTAATCTATACTTCTATATCCATAATAAAAAGAGGGAAGATTTGATTGTTTGTTTGTTTGCAACGAGTAAGCTCCGAAACTACTGAACTGATTTTAAAAATTCACTTACGGGAAGCATCATATACGGTGAACATCAACATAGGCTATATTTTATCCCATAAAACAGCAAAGAAAGGGATGTAAAGGAAAATGGGAGTGAAAGTTTATATGAGTAATTAAAACGTTACCATAGTAATAACCATTGTTTACTATTGAATTTGTCATTGTAATTATATCCGAGTCGTTAATATGAATCGATATCCAAATAAACTGTTCCCTAGGGACCACGCCGGCGAAGCCGCTGGCGGAAAGCGAACATAACGCGAACAGTTTTATTATAATAATATATAATGATATTTTTTTCATTGTTTGTTATCGTTAACTTTTATTTTATGTCTACTGGTACACAGCAGTGACCTGCATTCCTATGTTGTGGTCTGGCAGAAAGACAATGTTCATAACACGAGAAAGAATTAGCAGAAAATACCCTTCATAGGTTTATGTATAACGAATGGACCTACGAAATAGAGAGTATATACTAATATACTGATAATAATCCGTATCTCGATCATAAATGTATTCACAAAATAGGTATTTCCCATTATGATTTTAAGTATCCAGATCCAGAATTGAACGAAAACCAACACTCATCAGCTAATTATCATCCTGCGGATCCTCTTAAAAACTGCGATTACGTTTTACAATTTGAGTGGATGTTGGTTTGAGTCGTATTTTTATTATACTTTACTGTGTGTTTGTTCCGTATTTGACTGATTCTTTTTTTGTAAAGTAACACAACTCAAGTACGCATATAAAGTGCGGTTAAATGTATCTTCATTTTGCATAGCATCGTACTTGAACCAATCAATCGTTAAAGGTTCAGTAGGTACCTACTATGAACTATGAAAATATTACGCTATCAGCTAATCTGTCATATGATAATTATAGCACGTAACCGAGAGAACGTTTATTATTGTCTACCTACATTGAACTTCGTACGTGTAAGTGAGTCAGTCAAGGGCACAGTTGTTTACTGTATGACACTAGCGCCGCTGTGCGGAAGGAAGTAGACTATTTTTTTGTTCCTTTGTAGCCGGAGACGGATTAGCTTCTGTTTTGTTCGTAGTCTAGAATAATCTGTAAAGAAGCATCTGTAATCTGGATGAATATATCAATATCTTCTCGGTCTTAAAATCTCAGTGTATTGTAAGTATTTTTTATCAAGATGGTAAAAATCTTAACTAACACAAACCATAGATAATAAAACATCATTAATATTACATAATAAGTAATATGTATTAATGGTTTTACCTATATAGAAGCAATATAAGAACTCAATGCGTCAACCCTACGTCATATCAGGCTAATCGTAAAAGGAGATTAAATTTCTGTTGTGTTTTGTATATAGATATATATAGACGACCACGACCGTACGCTGGTAAACAAGCCACCGTTTGACACAATTAGTGTCAGGTTCCACATTTATTGTTTTTATAACCGTAACTTTAAAAAAATGCATAATGTAGTCTTGTGTCGTCCACCACTTCGACCTTTTGATACCTAGTTAAGCAACACTGGGTATTTAGGGCTCATTTCTGCTTTCATTTTTGTTATTAGATTACAAAATAAAATCACATTTGCTCCATCAATTTATGAAGATGCCATTTTGCTAATAATATTGCGTCCCAGGTAGACAATAGAGTGGCAAAATGAAATTCATTGATACGTCATTTGCATGCCATTATTACGTTAACATTAACATAATTGAGGCCTGTACACTCTAACACCTGACGATCAGTGGCGTAATTTGAACTACAGCGCTCTGGGTTAATATCATCAGATTTGTACGAACTATAAAATTAACGAATTCAATGAAGTATTATTGATTATGATTGAAAAATTGATTAAAAAAGCGAAAGAAGTAAAAAATCACATGCCCCTCGAGCTATATGACTTGCTTCTAGATTGTACGCGATTAAAAATGAAAGCATTTGGGAATCCATCAAATTATATTACTTATATCAATTCGCTCTCAGCTCAGCTGTAAATGTGCTCTACAACCATTTTCTAAATCAACGAATCGAGAAATTGTCCTCTCTTGGTTCACCAATCTATCGCGTTCACGCGATAGATGAAATTCAATTTTCAGCTCTTATAATTGTTGTCACTTTATCAAGTGATTGGTTGACATAAAATTTATTGTCTTCATAAAACTAAAATACTGAGATCGCTCTTGGCAAGTGGAGTGTCGCTACACAGTATTATCCCTATCATAGATGCAGAATCTTCAACAGTCCCAACACGATGTTACACACATCGCGCACTATTACAATAATGAAATCTACAATCTCTCTCAATCTAGGCAATTTACACCCTTTTTCACTAATCTAGAACAAGGCATTGTCTAGCTAGGAAACATCTAATCTTACGAATTGTCGAAATGGCGATTCCTAAATATTTAGGCAACGGATTTGGGCGACTTCTAAGTTTAGTGAAAACGGGCATAAGTTAATCTTCACCGAAACATCTAATAAAGTTTATCTCACTATGTGGGGTTGGGTCTGGCGAGCTTCTTGCTGGGTCCCGAACGCTTTCCCTCTATTGAGGGTATTCCACAGCTTGGCTAGCCAGTTAAAGTTTTGTCAGGTAGGCCAGCCACGTCTTTGACCTGATCATTTCAGGACAGATCCATGTGGTTGGAGAGCTGTGCTGTGCACAGTATTTAGGGCTTTGCATTTTTTCCTTAAAAAAGGTTTATCTCAATAGGCCACTGCTCTCAGCTAAATCAAATGACATTCACTTTCAGGTCCATTTGTTTTACCTATTGTGGTAAGCGATATTGTAGAATATACTTTACAACATTTGTGAAAATGCAACTTCATTAAAAACTAATAATTGTTTAATGAAATAAAATTCCGGTCTTTGAAACTTATTTTAGTTTTGAGAATTCCGTACCATAGGGTAAAACAGGAACTCTATTACTAAGACTTCGCAACCTGTCTATCTGTATTTCATGAACCGTGAAAGTTATACAGTTGAAATTTTCTCAGATGATGTATTTCTGTTTTCGATTCAACAAATACTAAAAACCAGAATAAAATAAATATTTAAGGGGCTCCCATAAATATAAACTTTTTTTTGCTCGTTATCGGTACGGAATCCGTCGAACGTGAGTCCGACTCACACTTGGCCGGTTTTAGTATACTGGATAATCATTTATTTATTATAAAATACATAAAAAATTATTTGTTTAAATATATGTATTATTTGTTGCAGGTCTCAATGCGTGCGAGAGGAAGTCATTCCTGTTTCTAAGAAAGGAATTGCCAGTCAGGTAGTATATTGTTTATACTCTCTTTTAATTTTATACATATAGTATAGATATAATACATTTCGCATAATGTGAAGCAGTAGCAGAATATTAATAGATTGTTACTGCAATTAGAAACTTTATCAATACAATTCAACGTTTGTACAATCACAAACATAATGGACGTCTGTCTTTATCTCTGGAATGTTCTAAAGAGGTATCTTAAAACATTCAATTGCCTGCATCATATTTATATCACATCCATATAAATATATCAACACCAACAATGACAACTCAACGTATGACTGGACTTTTAATAGATATTCATTGTTTTAATGTATTATCATTTTATAATTTTTATCACTGCAACATGGTTTAAACTTAAATGTTTGTAATTTGTATTGTAAACGTAACTATAGTTCAATTTCACTTACGACATTATATTTACGAGAAATATGTGTCTTGAGTTTTATAAAAGCTTATAAGAAAGTCGAGACGACAACAAAAAGCTCCAGATATTAAGGTATAACTATATCTACTATTTATACTTACTATTTTATTTTATATAGAAAAAACCTTAATAGATTGCATGATCTCAACTTAAAAAAAATAAAGATTTTCGTAGAATGTTTCAACCTCTATTTTAATCCCTTAGGGGTTGAATTTCTAAACTCCTATTTAGTATTTTGCTTCAGTATAATGTTAGGTTTCTGTGAAAAATTTAAAAATCTTTGACTTACTGGTTTCAGTATTTAAAAATATTATTTGTCATTACACTTATTTTAATAACTAAACATTCAACGTTCATTCCGCTTTTTTAATATGCAATTATCAATTAAGGCTTATTAAAGTCAGTTAAATTGAGGAAGTGTCAGATGACTACTAATTAATGGTTTAAATATGATCTTTTCTCATTTAAAATGTTGTACTAAAACGAAATTGGTATTGGCCTGGAGTCCTGAACTTAAAACTGAGTAAATATGTAGGAATATTACTCTAAACGTCATATGGACACCACCTGAATACTATATTAATAAATAGGCTGTTCTACAGCGACCTCGCCCGCGTAAATTATAGCCTATGTCGGAGGTTAAAGAGAATTTTTAAAACGGTTAACTAGTTTCACATCCTATTCAATGAAAAACAGTCACAGACATTGCACAGATCTGTCTGTCTGTCTGTCAGTTCTGTCCTTCGATTCTGTAAAAATCCAGACCCGAATACGATTTCACTCATGTGTCCGAATCCAGGTCATTTAGTGAAAAAAAAATTATTTCTATTTTTTGTATAAAACATAACAAATTGATTGATCATACGTGTCTCAGATATTCTATTCCTATGTCATTACGAAACTCACTTCACTTATGCCACGAAACGTTATTGCCAATTCAAGATTGACCTGATGCCGCTTTTTGAAATGAATTCGAATTCTGGTTTCTGTAAAACAGAATCGCAGGGCTGAAATCAAGAAACTAAAAAGCTAAAAAGCTTTGTAAACACAGCATACAACAGGTGACTAAGTTTACTCAATTCGATTACAGTTTGACATAATTTTATTTGTATAACCTAATGTGATGACTATATTTTCAAAATATGCCTTGGATATACCTCTCATCAGTAAAGTTCATCTACAATCATTCTATTGAGAATTAATCTCCAGTTCTAATAAAGCAAATCTTGTTTTCTACTAGTATAGTATATTTTTTTTACATTCCCGTTTTGACTTAGTTACGTATAATAGGCATATAATGGATATTTCATTATTTTTAATGTCAATTCATTTGGATTTCCATTTATTACCTAATATATTGAGCGCACCCTTTGAAATCATCGTAATTGAGAGTAATACTGGTCTCAGAAATGAAACTGTCCGTTGTATTTTGTTGATAATGACTACTGTTACGATAATTTTGGTTAAGAATATAAAGATATCATCAGTTTACCACAATATAAACTGTGTAAGAAGTCAATCCCCCTTAATCTCATTGGCTAATCTTCAAAACCATCGTAATAAATCTTTTAAACCTTAAGATAACAATGTATCACATATCCAAACGGTTTGTTTAATAATTATTCTGATATACAAGAATAAAGTGAATGAAGGATAATAAAAAAGATCTGTTTATTTAATTTATTGCTTCTCCAAATCATTATAATGAGATTAAATTGATATTTTAGTAGTAAATAAAATATAATGTAAAGTTTTTTCATTTAATAATTTTATACTTTTTTTTATTATTTCGTTAAATATTTAAAGGAATTCTGATCAGATATTCTGTTGATGGAGCTAGAGGCAAAATCAGTCGAACAAGTCTTCTTGCTCATGTTTCTGAAGAAGGACCATGAGAATCTTATGATATTAGTGGTAAGGAAAACTAGCTCACGTGAGTTAGATATGAATGGATAAAGGTTTCTTTTATTACAATAACTAAAACTCGTTTAAATCATACACGGTCCAATATATCCTGATGGTTAATAGGTAACAGAGCTTTAATTGTAATGTATTTTACATTGCCAAAACTTATAATACTTAACTACATTATAGTTGTAACGTAGTTGTTTTTTTCTTCCCGCAGACTGGCGAACATAATGAAGGAGATAGCTCTACTGCCAGATAACCTGCTGAGGATGCCGTCAGTGGGCATGGTGAACCAGTGGTACGAGAGATCGTTCGAGGAGATTATACAGTTTGAGAAAATGGACCCGGAGCCACCCGTGTTGACACAGTATGTACGGTTCTATTTAAATACTTCCTAAAGTGTAAATAATATGTACCCTCGCGTTGTGCAAATATACTCGATTGTAAATACTTGAAGGCTCGATAGATACTCGTGCTCCATACGAATTAGATTCGCATAAGATTATTATTGTGCAAATTACATGCAAATTAAGCATTAATAGAATAATTACTAATAACATCTTAAGTAGAAAGAAAATGTAACCCCTAATATTTAGATTACAGTATAGTAGTCATATTTTCTTATATAAAATTTTGATAAGTTTGTAATCGTAAGTTAACGTGCAATGGCCTGTTCTTCTAGTTACTATGATTTTAGTAAAGCCATATGGGCCTATAATTCTGCTAACTAATAAAGTTAACTTAAATAAGGCATGTCAATGACGTTTCACCAACATCTCTTTAACACAAAATAACAAAAATATCTGCCACCATTGATTTATCAAGACTTATCAAGACGCCAGTGTACTAATAATATTGGGCCCCAGATTGATAAGATGCATTGATTAAAACCTTATGGAGAAGCCATTATTAACTACGTTAAAATTAGCCTTGGTATTATTAGCAACGTTGGTGGTTATTTATGTAACCATGAAACTAAATGTAATATTTCTTTGGTGTTGAAATAGGTTTTGTGAGCGCCTCATTCACATAAGGAACCGTCACGCTGATGTGGTGCAAACGATGGCGCAAGGTGTTCTTGAGCTGAAAGAGTCACATGAAGTGGACGTCGGCACCGAGAACTCGATACAGTACTTCTTGGATCGGTTCTACATGAGTCGGATATCGATAAGGATGTTGATCAACCAGCATAGTGAGTATTAGATGAAAAAAAGGAAAGTCATTTGTTGACCCACAATCTTAAAAATAAAAAGAATAAGAAATCGAGAGAAAAAAAACAACGACAGTTGAGTCAATTAGAACACTGTCTCTGTTTATGTTGTTACGACATTGGGCGCAACAACGCTTATATTCTGACAGAACCTGTTGTGTGACGTGCAACTAAATAAATATACACCTTAACTTATCTTTAGTATTTATAGAAAAACAATTACAGCCTCTAAGTTCTTCAGTCAGAGAGTTCAATGACGCATTAGTCAGTGCGTTTGATGTGCAAAGTAAAGGTTAAGCAACTTTTACAAGGGCCGCTCATAAGATGGGTGACCAAAAACGTATTATCACGAGATCCTCCGTGCTTTGGAAGGTACGTTAAGCCATTGGTCTCGGTCGCATATGCAGCCACTTTGACACATTGACACCCACCAACCGCCCCACCCGCGCTGGGTACGGTTGGTGGGTTATCTCCCTTTCTTCCTATTTGATTTCATCTATAGGAACTATCTGTGCCCCAGCAATAGGGCTATTGATAAGACTGGTGATAAAAATTTCTGAAAATCATTGCAGCTCTTCTTTTCGGCGAAGAACAAGTTAGCGCTCGACAAGCATCAGTCTCCGGTATAGGCAACGGTGGCCGCCATATTGGGTCCATTGATCCCGCTTGTGACGTGGTCGTGGTCGTCAGAGACGCTTATGAGAATGCGAGGTTCCTCTGCGACAGATATTATTTGGCGTCGCCCGACCTTGAGCTGATGCAGATGGGAGGTGAGTCCTACATCGCGCTATAAAGGTTTGCTAATAGATTTGTTTAAGTACATAGCTATTTTGCTGCGTTAATGTTGCCTCTCTTTGTGTTCTTTAATAATCATTTAATAATGAACACAGACTTAGTGGTAACAAATTTATTTTATTAGGAAGAAATCTTTCTTTATGGAACAATACAATTTACTAAAAAAAATATTTTATTGAAATTTATAAATTACTAGCTTTCCGCCAGCGGCTTCGCCGGCGTGGTCCCTAGGAAACTTGTTGTTTTGGGTATCGATTCATATCATGACACGGATATAATTACAATGATAAATTGAATAGTAAACAATGGTTACTATGGTTCCATATACAAACTTCTACTCCCGTTTTCATCCCTTTATTTTCTGTTTCTCGGGATAAAATATATGTTCACCGCATAAGATGTAGCTTTCTGTAAGTGAAAGAATTTTTAAAATCGGTTTAGTAGTTTCGGAGCTTATTCGATGCAAACAAACAAACAGATATTGCTATCTAGCGATAAGGCCGCTGTACTGTTAATACTTCTATTCTAATTGTTATTTTTCTTCTAATTGTTATTTCTCACGTACAATAAAGTGTTTCTTTCATTAATTCAAATAATCAAATCTTTCGTCTTTATAATAACTATTAGTATAGATACTGATTCTTTTAAAATCAACGAAAAGGTATGTATAGCTATGACTAGTCAGATGAGCGGTGTCCGAAGCTTTTCAATAGAAATACGATCATTTGATAATTAATATGCAGTAACAAGTAAGGTTTATTTTCCTTCATGAAACTGATATAGGAAAATTAAATGTTCTGTAATTGAAAAAAAACAACTCGTAATGAAAAATACTAAAATATCCACCAGCCACGACGACGTCCATCTCAGAGTACCTTGGTACGTCGACGTCGTGTCCCATGGAATTTTTAAGCATTTTTCTACACATAGTATAAAAAAAAGTTGCTTTCTCTGTCCCTATATCCCTATGTCTGCTTAATTTTTTTTTTTCATAGATAGGGTGATTCAAAAGGAAGGTTTTTATGTATAATGTATAATACAGAGAAACCGCTGGCGGAGTTAGTTAGGAATATTTTTCAGTATAACATTGTGAATTCAAAATTTGAATTATTAAAAAAAAAATGTTTTAAGGTATATTATGTTTTATATCTCAATTAATAAGGCATATTTTTCTAGTGGCCAGCGATCGTCCGATGCCGATAGTTTACGTGCCGTCACATCTTTACCACATGCTGTTTGAGTTGTTCAAGAACGCCATGAGAGCGGTTATGGAGCATCACGAGAGCGCTCCCCCTCCTATACAAGTGAATCTGATCAATGGAAAAGAAGATATATCCGTGAAGGTGAGATTGCCCTTCATTAGAATCTGAATGAATTATCAACCTTCTGTCAGGATTTGTATTGATATTAAATAGGTTTTTTAATTATTAAAAAAAATATATCATGAAAACAAACTAAAGACGTGTGCATTTGAAATCGGGACTACTACGCAACTTGCTTGGTTTGAAATTCAGTTTAGTTTTATGTTTGAATACCATTTTTATTGATCTTGCCAAGGCGAGTTCTACCACAGGTGTAAACCTTAACATAAGGTATTAAAGTATATATTTCAAGGGGGCTTTAATAGCATGATGATAATGTGAAGTTGTCTGTTTTCAGATGTCAGATCGTGGCGGCGGCATTCCTCGTAGTGTGACAGATCTCCTGTTCAAGTACATGTATAGTACGGCGCCGCAACCGTCCAAGTCTGATTCACATACTGTTCCACTCGCCGGTGAGTTTACTAATCACATTCACCAAAATCACAAAATTTATAGATACAACTTGATGCAAATATATAATTTATGTACCCGAGGAACAGACTATAATTTAATTTCAAATCGACGTTCAGGTTCTTAATGTTCCTTTTCCATATTGTCCTTAAGTTCTAAAAGGTCCTTTTTCCGAATTTCGTTTTCCCAAAATATCCCTCCGAAATATCCTTTTTCCAAAATTACCCAAAGTGCCATGGGTAAGGAACATTTCGAGAATGAGACATTTTGGGAAAGAGCCCTTTTTAAATCGAGGAACATTAAGTGAAAGCGACATTATGAACCTAAATTCAAATTGACTGTAGATAGCATTTACTCCTCATAACCATCATTCTGAATTTTATTTTTTTAACTAAGTCGTTAAATTGTTTTCGCCTATTTTTATAAATAACTTCAAATCTATATAAAAAATCTATGTATCAGGAGATTTTATTTGACAAAATTTTTAGTTTAGTATCATGAATATTTATGTATGTCCATTGTATCTTATAGGATATGGATATGGCTTGCCTTTATCCCGGCTTTATGCGAGATATTTCCATGGTGACTTGGTACTAATGTCCTGTGAAGGTTATGGAACTGATGCAGTCATATATCTCAAGGTGAGAATTTATCTTGGTATATCTTGATTACTATTTAATTGGTTTAGTCTGTCAAGAGAGTTGTCTAGTTTTTAGTTGCACTGTATGTTGTTCGTCAAGCTGTTCCTAAACAGTGAATATGTATTTATTTATAGAAACATTATTGTTGATTTTAGATATTAGTGTGTGTGTACATAAATCAAATATAATTCTCTGAACATACTAAAATCAGTTAAGACAGTTCAGAAACAAAGAATTTGGCAGAAAAATGAAATTAAGGTATTAAAACTGTCTCAGTGTAAAAATCATTGGTAACGCCATGAAATGTGTTTAAAATGAAAAAATTTTTTAAGCTGCTACTAGATCGGTGGCAATTTCTGTGCAGTAATTATATAAATCAACAACATTGTCTATTCTCAGGCACTTTCTAACGAAGCGAACGAGTTATTACCGATATTCAACAAGACATCGACTAAGTTCTACAGACCGGTAGCCCAGTTAGCTGATTGGTCCGGATCTTTAAATACAGCAAGCAATTCTTGTAAGAACAGAGAGAAGGTATCGCCCCTATCCACGCCTGTTTCTAATAGTATATAGCCGGAAAAATGCGGAGCTGAAATTGAAGCTCCGGTCTCAGATAAATAAATTTATCTTTCAGGCTGCATGGTTGTAGATCCCTTTGCCTTGACAACAGTCGAAATTATTAAAAATAAAAGTAGCGCGCCAAAAATTTCAAAATTCGAATGTGTATAATAAAATAGTTATTTAATATTATTTGGTTTTTCTGTTAAAAAATAACTTTGAGAACGATTCTATTTATAAATTGGAAACTTTATTACGCTTGCTAAGGTTGAAAAATTACAAGTTAATTGTCATATTTTTATGAAATTCGTATCGTAATTTATTATTGTTGAATTAACTATTTGAGGTATTTCTGTACTTTTTATGTAAAAAAAATAAAGGAGCAGCATTACCAATTGTGAGCGTCATAATTGTCTCTTTCTTTCTTAGATAAAGCCTTATATCAAATGTAGAGACGCCTAATAATCATTCATTACTGTTAAGTAAGTTTATTTTTGTCTATTTTATTATTTTTATCAATGTGATATTTAGTGATATAAGGAAGGAACAGGAAGGAAAACTATGGACTGAAATGGTTACTTGATGTATTTTATAGTTTCGCCTTGATTATCTAACAAGTCTTACCAAAATCATGTTTAATATTACAAATCGAAAAAATATATAAAGATTAATCATCGAGTGCTTTATTTATCAAAGTTCTTGTTACAATTTTAAAATATTCGGTTCCCGAGATATAGCCATATTAACATAGACGTATATGTATGACGTCATAAATTCGAAATAACATCTTAGGGTGTATCCGAACCCAATAAATTCAGCTGTAAAGTGTACGGACTTTTTCGTATCAAGTTGAAACTATAAAATGCAGATGGTGAAGATATTAATATTACTCTATTATAAATTAAGAGAAGATATCAGAAATACTTATAGAGCTTGGATAGCGTTAGGTATGATATTGTTAAGTGAAAAGTGTGATTGTATATTTGTTTATAATGTATTTATGTGCGAGTGAATATGTAAAACACATGTATATAATGTTGATTTAATCACCATACCGCTCAATATGTTAAAAATAAATACAGTAGGATGAAATTAATTTGATTCGATTTATCGACGTTAATTTAATTTAACGTTATTGGAACTACAATTTTGTAATTTATTCATTGAAATACTATTTTTTATTTATGCAATTATGTCATTGTGAGCGGTATATATGAAAAAATACTCGTCTAAATTCTCCGCGTGTCGACCTCTTTGTACTAGATATACATTTAGCTGGTAATATGTTAACGTTTACTTTTTTTTTATTTGAAGCAGATTTATAATTCTTTGCTTTTCCTTTCGAACTACTTACACTTAAGATTTGGAAAAAACCATTGTTTTTATTTAAGATGATTATTTAAAAAGATTTTTCCATAGCTTTCTAATTTTTTTACAGTTTATTTTTAATATTGTTTAGTTAATGGACTTAAATACTTATAATGTAACCTTAATAGACATGGTCATTTAGTTTATATTGCTATAACCATAGAGATACACGTGGCGCTGTTTGGATATGCAGTAAAATGTCCTGTAAAAAAAAAGTCTACATTGTTATTGATATTGGTCGTTTAACCATTACATAAGTTGACTTGTTAACTTTAATTTCAAATAAAAATAAAAGTACACATAAAAATGTATCGTTTTAAGTAACACTTAATTAAAAAAATATAATATCGGTACACACTATTCTGTTGTATTAACCAGTGAAAAATAAATATGTTAATAAGGAAACAGTTAATATTTTTTTAATGCATATCGAATTACAATTTTACATACCTACTGATTACGTAAGGTTTTTATTAATTTTGTGAAACTCTTGAAAGTATGAGAAATATAGTATTTTTGTATACATAATAATCAACTAAAAGTGCAGAGCCTCTTTTTCTATCCATTAGAGAAAAATAAGGATGGGGAACATATCAGAACGGTACACTGAATGAGTAGTAGATAAAAGTGACAATTTATAATATGGTAAAAAAACATTGAGATCACGGGGCCGATTTAAACAATATTTACATCAGCGCAATGATTTCACCGAGCAACATAGGCATAAGCTATTTTTTCACAAAGTCTACAAAGTTCCCACGATCAGTCACAGTGGAGCGAATGTGACTTTGTTTAACTTATAAACAAATGTAATAAACATTACGAAGGTCCTTAATATGTAAGATATATTTTTGATATTCTGCTGTCTCATACAATGCGGCGTAGCAAACGATGCACAAAGATGTTATTCGAGTGCAATAAGCTAATCTCTTCAGTTTTATTGTTTGTTTTCACTGTCGATGAAGCGTGTATGTTTGTAGCGAAATAAAATAAAATGCAGTACAAATGTGACTTACATAGTACTAAGAAAAATGTTCGCTCTATCGGCGGACAAACAATTTTTAATGTTGCATTTTTATTTCGTTGTAACTAAGTTTAATTCTGATTTTAATTCCAAAACAAAAGTTTTTTTATATAATAGTGATGTACTATTCTAGATAACGAGAAATAGTGAGTTTCTGCAAATAAATAATTTGAATAACATTATTTTATTATTGTAATGCCTTTAGTGTTAAAGTGTACGTCGAATCTCATTTTACGGTTCGAAAATATCCGACCTAGACGGATATGTAGTATCAAAAATAAATGAGAACCCATTTAAAAAAAATGCGACTTTTTTCTATATCAAAAGGAATAGCGTCCTTCATTCTGGCATCATCACTCTCTAAGATTTAAAATAAATTCTCAAATATTGTGAATTATTGATCCACCAAAACCATTATTTTTGTTAACCATGAATTTGGATTGATCGTCGAAAGCGAAATTTTGTGCATCCTGATTTGTAGCGGCCATAAATAACGATCTTACGAGGGTCAAACTGAAAGTTCTTAGAAAATCAAAAACTGATTACATTAGCCAGTTATTAGTTTTATTATATCTTTTCAAAATATTGTCCATTCACGTCAATACACCGCTGCATGCGATGGAACCACTGGGAAAAGCACTTTGCCCACTCGTCCTTAGGGGTCTCTTCAATGGCATCGCGATACGCAGCCACCGCTTCTTCAGCATTGATAAACCGCTTTCCTTTAAGTTTTTCTTTAATTTTTGGAAATAAATAAAAATCACAAGGCGCGAGGTCGGGGCTATACGGCGGGTGACCCAGTAATTCAACGTTTGATGTCGCCAAATAGTCGATCGTTCGCTTGGCGGTGTGCGACGAGGCGTTGTCGTGGTGAAGGAGGATCCTACTGCGAGGTCATTTCTCTCGAACTTTTTCCAAGACAAGTGGCAAACAATTGGTAGTGTACCATTCTGCAGAAACTGTTTTTTGATCCTCTAACACAATTGTTGCAAAATGACCTATCCTTCCAAAGAACGAGGCCACCATTTTTTTTCCCGCACTTCGATCTCTCTTCACTTTAGTTGGCAACTCCTCGAAAGGAAACACCCACTGAGCAGATTGTCTTTTGGTTTTAGGATCATAACAGTAAATCCAGCTTTCGTCACCTGTTAGTATGTCGAACACAGCATTTGAGTCACCTCCGTTAAATCTTTCAATCATTTTACGACACCAATCCACACGATGGAGTTTTTGAGCCTCAGTCAAATTATGAGGTATCCACCGGGCGCAAAGCTTCCTGACCGCTAAATGTTCGTGGAGGATTTTGTGCACTTGACTCATACCGATGCCTAAGCTTGTCCGAATCTGTTGATAGGTCACTCTTTTGTCAGTCTCTATCATACGCCGCACAACACAGATGTTATCTTCAGTCGTCGCCGTAGAAGGCCGTCCCTCACGTAAATCATCAGTGAGATTAGTGCGACCACGTTTAAACTCATTAAACCAGTTGTAAACAGTCGCACGAGATGGGGCTTCATCGTGAAAGGCCAATCGTAGTCTATCATAACTTTCTTGTTGACTTAAATGACATCGAAAGTCATAAAAAATCATTGCACGAAAATTTTCTCGTGTTAAATTCATGATGACGTGACACAGACAATTTTCAATTTGCCGCCAAATCGTAAAACAAATGACAAATGAATGAAATATGTACTCAGTAATATTGGCAAAGAGTTATATTTTCAAATTTTAGAATTATTTTTTTATTATATTGTTTATAAGTGGCCAGTTCTAAGAACTTTCAGTTTGACCCTCGTATGCCATATCTTCCCTTTTTCATTTTAATCAAAGCCTAATACTGTTTGAAGGAAAAACATCGAATATTACTGGCAGCACTAATTGTCGATTTCACTGTGGGCAATCTGTCAGTGGCTGTCACCGTTATTTTTGACTTTGATGTTTGATTAGTTTCGCGCCTAAAAACTTCTCAAATCTTTTATATTTATTTCAGAATCAGCGTTCAAAAGTTGGCTGCACCCTACATCAGTTATCGCGGGCTGCGGGGGAGAAAAAACAGAGAGCAGTGTTTATTGACTCGTTTTAATTAATTGTGCATTATATTGCAATATAATACGATCAATTGTTCTTCTGGTTTAGTAGTATTAGTAACGATTTGTAAAAAATATATGATGAATAAATATTTCTTAAAATATTTATTCATCATCATATATTCACAAGAAACAAAATTTTACATAAAGTAAACATTTTGTTTCTTGTGTAAAAAATCTTTACCTTTCATAAGGGCCTCCAAACAAATTATTACGCGGGTCCCTCCAAGACACGCTACATTACTGGATTCAGCGTTATCTATGTGAAATACACAAAATTGGAAGCCAAAAATATTTTATTTTTAAAAATAATCCAGCAATACGATAGGTTACTTCATTTGTTATTTTTCTTTATCATTTTATATTAGTTTCCTTTTTACTGTAAACGTCAATATTATTTATTCAAGATTATAGAATAAAAATAGCTTCAATAATTTCTTCTTATGAGCCTCTAACTTAGATCATTATTGACAAGTTTACCATTGGTTTTCTATTTAAAATGAGATAAAAAAATACTGTGAAAAAATATCTTAAATAATTACATAAATAAAAAAATATGGGATATTGAAGTTGTGCTCGCTAGATTAATTTCGATTCACGCGGTACCTCAGCGTGTGTCGTTACGCTACCGAATTTATTCTAACTAGTATTTTATGTTCGTTTTTTAGTATCGCCTGCATCTTAGGTCGCGTCACCAGAAATCATTTATGATACCTATGTATTAGAGTACAACAATAAAAATCCCTAGTAAAATATTTTTAAATAAGGAAACGAAAAAATACTAGTGTGTTTTAGAATGCATCTACTTATAAAGTATTAATATGTAGGTCTAAGCCTAATCACAAAACAGACCAAAAGAGGTACCTACTAACTATTATCCATAAATCCATGCCAATAGTTTGATAATAATCTATAAGAATTCTAAGGTTTATCGACTAGTGCAAGCTCATTTACATTGATCGATAGTGTCTGCATGCGGAGTGCTAACGATTTCTATGCTTATTTTTAGTAGGCTATCATTGACTGTAATTGGTTTATCCACTAATGCAAGCTCATTCATCCGCGTGCGGAGTGCAACTATTTATGGGCTTATTTTTAGTAGGCGATCATTGCTTGCAATTGGTTTCCTGACTAGTACAAACTCATTTACATTGGTGGTTAGGCCCGCATGCGGAGTCCGGCGATTTTCGTACTTATTTGTATTAGTGTTGGACTGAAACTGAGAGAGTTTATATTAACACTTCCAAAGAGGTAAAATGTGAGAGCAACTCCCTTATAATATACGAGCATGTATATTAAGAGCAGCTTAATATACATTGTAAGTAATATTTTTATCTATTGTTGGTTAGAAAATTTATACATTTTTGCCATTTTTTTATTATTGTGGAAATATAAAAATAAACTACGTACGGTCGGCCAAGAAAGTGGTCTACCAGTTTTGACAACATTTCCCGTGTCTTTAAAGCATCGCTAAAGGCGAATCTTAGAATTGCATACAAACAATAAAAGAGATGCACAATGCTGACGTGTTGTCGTAGAGCACAAATGTTATTTTGACCTTTGCAGCCTATGCATTAGATAATAATTTGCAACAACAAATAGTCTTCACAATATTTCATAAATTTAAAATTTAAGTAGGTCACTTTTACGTTACGTTACGAAAACTCTTTTACTGAAAAAGAATATATCACTTGAAAATTCATGTCAAATATTTTCTCGGCATTTTCCGTAGGTATTTTCCTAATTAATTTACACTACAATGCCCCGAAATTAATCCATTAACGAAAGAGCACAAATAATCGCATTACACAATGATGGTTTCAATATTAGTGAGATTTCTAGAGAATTAAATGTGTCGGTAAGTATCATTATGTCTGACGTGAGTTTAATTTAAAATTTCAGACCAAGACCGAGTGTAAAAAGATATTTTTATTTTTTCTGTTCATATTTTATTTTTGATTATAGAGACAAGCTGTCCGTCTTTGGATAAGACGAGAAAGCGAGGAGGGGAATTTGAACGCTCGGAGTCGTAGCGGTCGTAGACCTGAACTATCAGATACTCAGCGAGTCTCCATGAGACGGAGTTATGAGGAATCTGGCTTTATACCAACGCGTTATTTTACCGACATATTTGACGTGACTCTCCAAACCATTAGAAATCATTTACATTACATGGGCTTACATCACAGGCGTTATACAAAGAAAATTTATATGACTGACGCTCATAGAATGGCCAGATTAAATTTCGCCATAGAATATTTGGATTTTGATTGGAGTAACACTATTTTCTGTGACGAGAAAACTTTTAAATCCAGTCAACACGGGCGTCTACACCTTTGGCGATTCAATAAAACGCGATACACGCAAAATCATGTCGTGCCAAATAGAGAATCGGGTCGTATCTCGGTAAATTTATATGGATGGATGACTGCTGATAGTGTTGGAGACTTGACCTTTTTGCCACCACGAGCAACGGCATCAGATTATGTTGATGTTCTCCAAAATGCTATGTTGCCATCCGTCCGGAACGTTTACTCAGAAAATGAAATGCGTCAATTTAATTATATACAGGATAACTGTCCCTTACATAAAGCAAGGGTAACACGTGCTTGGTTTGATGCACATCCGGGAATAAACTTGATACCATAGCCTGCAAAATCGCCAGATCTCAACCCTATTGAAAATATGTGGGGTCTTATGATTCAGAGATGGTGTAACCGTAATGAACGAACAGCAGAAGCACTACAAAGGCACTGCAATGAGGTTTGGGAGGAAACACGTGGGTCTGATATCTGCTCAAGACTGGTGGGCTCGATGAGGGAACGTCTCCAAGCTGTTATAGAGGCAGATGGCGGCTACACAAGATTTTAAGAATTATAATTTTATAAAAGAATTGTATATATTTTTTAACAACCAAAGAATTAGCATTTTCACTATCTCTTCTAGTTTTAGCCCTTGTCTCGCACTAAGCTATGGGTCGGCGCAATATGTTTTTCATCGCTATTCATTTCTGTTATCCGTTATATCAGTATATTCAGACCTATAACACGCATAGCTTCTTACGCATAGCATTTCACTACCTACTGATTTTTTTTATTTGTATTAAAATATAATTAATCTACATTCTAATGTAGGATATTTGTAGACTATAAGACTTTATTTACGATATTCTAATTCTAAAGTATTTAAACATACAAACAGACAGACAGAAAAAAAATTATTTTTGGCTTCTATTAGTCTTATGAAGGCCGTCCATATATTTTTTTTTCCAAAATATCTTACAAATGTAACCTTCTTACATTTTTATTATAGGTATAGATAATTACTGTCAAAGGTTACGTCAAAATGATGAAGATAGCAATAATGACGTGTACTTGACGTGTCAAAAACTTAATGCTACGGAAAATCAACCTTGTTGATAGTTGACGTAACACGCGAAATTCAACCTTAGGGTGGTAGACCACTTTCTTGGCCAACTGTACAAATATATAAAAACATAAAAAATTTTCATTAAATACTAAATAACACCAGAGCACCCAATAAGTAGAAAAGAATAAGTGATTTCCAAGACTTCTATTCAATTTGTAGTGTGATCATTTCCAGTTTGGTACTGCGACGCCACAGGTGGGTGGGGGGATTTTAAGTTAAATATACAATATGATAAAAATATAGTAAATAAGGATAATGAGGAAGTATTTAAAAAAAACGAAAGCACTAAAGAAGCACCTCCACATGGTGGCAGCTCTAGTAAAATTTGAATTTTCCAGGAAACGAATGGACCAAAGATTGCCATTTCCGTTCCTTTTTACTAACATATTAAAAACTGAAATTTGTAAAGTTCGAAACTTAGATATTAATACAAATACGATAAAGTTTAAATAAAATATGAGTTATTGATGGAGTTTTGAAAACTAATTTACTTTTAAACATGAAAAAAAAAACAGAAAGTCATGGAGAAATCAAAAACGTACCATAGCGACATCTACTTTGGATTCGGGAACTAATGTTTTTTTTAATACTTTCTCATTCATTTTTGTCATGCCCATCTTAAATGTCTTATTTGCCCCGTTGGCTGTCAGTGTCACTGTCAAATGTATTTATTAGAATGCCAGGTGGATTTTGAATGAGGTTAATTTCTTAGTAGAATATTTTTTAATACAAATTATTATAAAGACTACGTTGCAATGAAGATCTATACCAATGAAAATAATACTTCCACGCTGAAGTTGCTCATAGCGGCCAAGTTAGCGGGGAAAACAGTAGAATTACAAAGTGCATCCTTCGAGGGTAAGATTGGTTTTTACCTACTTTTTGTATTAGAACGAAGTTAAATGGACATAATTTAATGTCTAACAATAAATTGGCTAATTTATATCAATGATCGCATATCTGTCTGATTTCCTCATGTTAGGGAACTTCGTTTTTTTTTTTATTTAATGCATGCTCTTAAAATTTGGCTATAAGTTGCATCAGAATGCTTACTTTGTAATTTTTGGTCTTGCGTTATGCTATATATATAGACATCAAATATCCTAATTCTCAAATTATAAGTAATAGCATAGAGAAAATTTATAATATTACTTGCAATTCAGTATGTAATTTAAATAATTCATTTGCATGCCTTTGAGAAGTAGTTCAATATTCGTAATTTTATTCAATGGGAAATAAATTACTTTACCCATTGGTTACCATGGAAGCTATATGCGTTGTCATTGTACTGATTTAATTGTACATCTACTCTACTGTGATTATAGACTGGAACAATATAAACATAGTCATATTTTATATTTAATTGATGTAATATAAACATAATAATATATCTGTTATCATGCAGTTTTTGATTACAACACCACTTTGTTAGATTAGAACGCAAACTGTCATGATTTAATACAGGAAAAAAAATCTAACTGAATTTTAACTGACTTCTAATATAATATAAAAAGCTACAAATCTTCTGATTATAAATATAATACAAGAACTTTTGAAGAGTTTAATAAAGCTCATACAAATTTTGTTTTCACTTATTTTTTTGTCCATAATTAATAAGTTGTTATATTAAATAAGAAGCATGCATGTAAATGTGGGGTATACTTTATTACTGCAATCTATTCAACTAAAACTATATTAAAAAAATATTTTAGAGGCTTTAATACATATGAAAAATAATAAAATGCATGTATTAACTGCTTGTAAGACTAACTGGGTGATGGTACCGAGACATTTGTTGCAGACGATGTATTCGCAGGCCCGAGAGCGCTGCCATTGCTTGAGGTGGACGACCAGCTCAGCTTCTTCTCCAGCAATGCAGCTGTACAATATCTGTTTCCAGTGCTGGATTTGTCAGACAATGGACAGTGGTAAGATTTTATTTCTCCTATTGGTAACTCATTCATTCACATGATGTTCTCATGTGACAGTGCTATTAAATTCTTTTTAAATAATCTATTCCATTCTTAATGAAAAATGCTTAAAAAATCCTTTTTAAACAATATTTTTCTTGATCAAATCAAAATCAAAATTGATATTTGATTTTATTGGTAGTATAAATAAAATCTTATATAGTATATATATTATAAAGAATTATTGTTTCAAAAAAACTCCAATAAAACTTTTGTCATTTTCAATACTAACCCACCTGATAATCAGTTCTGGGACCTTATAGACTGGGCTTCAAAGTTTCAGTCTTTTATGCTTTATGCTCAACTAGCACATTCTGTTTTTGTTGTTGAAGCATGCAAGTTTTTCTTTTATATGTAGATAAGTTTTTCCAGTCAGCAGATGCAAGAGTGGGAAGCTATACGCTTGCAGCCAGCCGTATCAGCAGTAATCAGTGCCAAATCAGTGACAACTGAGTTGAAACAAGCACTTGATGCAAATCTAGCCTTAGTTGATCAGATGCTAAGCGCTCACAAGTTCATATTGGGGGTAAGTACTATTCTAATGATTATTTATTTATTTAAGTTTAGCAGAAACAAATAGCATTATTACTATCGAAATGTATTCGTTGTACTTATAAAGGCAAACACAGCATGATTAAATTTATATTTGTTAACAATATTGTGTATTAACTACATAATTAAAAAACAACGTAGTATTTATTAAATATGTTTATTATATTATGAAAATAAGGTTTTAATTCTCAATATTATTTATTTTTAAATCATAACATATAGTCTTCCCTTCCGCTCTCTTTTATACTATGTTCAAGAATACATATTGTAGTAATTTCCAAGCAATTTGGAACCTATATTTGGTATTTTTTTGTCAACAGGATAAACTATCAGCAGCAGATGTATCAATATGGAGTACTTTGTATCCTCTACATTACAACCCAACTCTGAAACAACAATACATGGGCCAGTTTAAGCACATCACTACCTGGATTGAACAGTTAGCTGCTGCCAAAGCTATACAGGTAATAAAATATATATATTTTTATAATGTATCTTATGTTGCTATATCTTTTTCTATTGAAATGAAACTTCCTTAAGTTAGAGCAAGCCAGAAAAGAAATATAATAGGGTTATTGACAATTTTTCAAAAATGAAAGTTTACAACAAGCTGGAAGTTATTGTTTATAATTTATTACTAAGAAATTATTATCTATCATTTTAATTAACCATCTAGCCAACATCATAAACAACAATGTTTGACCGATGAGTTTAACTATTGGTTAAAGACAAAAAAATATTTTTCAAGTTGTTATTTTGCGGTCATGATATTTAATACGCAAGATATGTGAAGTACCTTAATATTAGGTGTTGCACATTGAGTCGTTACATATGAAATAGTATAAAAATCTATTTTTTTAAATTTATATGAAAGTAAAATGTAATTAAGTCTAAGTACACACAAACAAACGGGCTGATGATTATAATGCTTATAGGAAGCATTGAAGCAATGGAACGGGTCATCTCAAGGTCCATTCGCTACTATATCGGCTCTGGGCAATCCACAGGTCACCAGTTTGGTTTCACCAGTCACGTAAGTAATTACATACACGCATACACTCAAGCACAGAAACACGTGCGGTAAACATACAATACCAATACTTTTTTGTTTGTCATATAAGAGAACAATATCTGAAATAATAATAAAAAAAGTAAATATCACTGAATGTGTAATATATATAAATATTAGTACATTAACAATGAAATTTCCGCAAAAAAAGGTTAACAAGACAAAGAACAGAACAGGGCCAAAGTACCCATAAATGCCAATGCCTTTTTTTAGCATGACGTAAGAATGGACTATAGAAAAAATACAAAATTTATAATTGATTAATATTTGCAGCTCTCCAGATGAAGTTTCCGGGCCAACTGTTGAAGAAATTGAAGAAGCCAAAGAAAACTGGTTAAATGGTCACAAAAAACTACAGACTCCATTGAAAGAAGAAAAAATAGTGTAAATATTAATAATTTTGTAAAAAAAATGAACTAGCTATTTTCATGTGATGAAGATTTCAAAGCCAACTTGGTTAAAACAGCTGTTTAAGAAAGATCAGTCAATATTGTTTGACTATCGAGACATAGTGGTCGTGTTTTAAGAGCCTCTTTTTTTAAAGTCTATCAAAAAGTGGCACAAGCTGCACATACCGTTTTGTTTGTGTTTTATAATTTTTGTTTTATCTTCTCAGTTTGCCAATAAAAGGTCGCAAGAATATTCTGATAACGTCAGCCTTGCCTTATGTCAACAATGTACCACATTTGGGTAACATCATTGGATGTGTACTCTCAGCTGATATATTTGCCAGGTGAGGTTTTGATTTATTAAATTATCTATAAATTGGTATGGTATCTTTCAATTAGTTTTGTACCAAGAAATAACGTCCTGATAAGCTGAAATTATAAATAAGAAAGCTACATCATATTTCTTATCAGATGTAAGTGCAACCTACAGGAATATCGTGGTGAAACTTAGTAAGCGCGATGTAGGTAGGTGATGTCATCTCATGACATGCGAGGTAACTTGTTGAAGCAACCTTCTTGACGTCGTTCAATTTGGCGATGTTAGCGTGATGAGATAGATATCGCCACAAATGTTTTGTTGGAACTTGATTATATCCTATTAAACTGACTATTTTATTATGAATAATGCATATTTGAATCTTCATTTATAGGTACTGCAGGTTGTGCGATTACAACACACTATTTATATGCGGCACAGACGAATACGGCACTGCTACGGAAACCAAGGTGAGAGCAGTTCATTATAATTGATTTTAACTAATTGTAATAGTGTATTCGAATTATGGATGTCAAGATTTCGATAAATTTGTTTATCGACAGTCGATCTTGAAAATTGATTATATTACTACATTACTTGATAAACACACAAATTAAAAATAAATTTAGCTTTTTCATTTTGGGTGTAATTCATGAGTGGTTACAAGATTTACTACTGTTCAAAGTTCTTATAATTTTGTTTAAGTCATATCCATGAAGACTGACACTGTCTGCATCAAAGAAAATGTCAGGTCCCACCACCGTTGCATGCATCATAAACAGTGGTCGGAATTAGCTAGAGTTATTCATGTACTTATACTGATTCCATACAGCGAAAGAATAAAGTGGATATGCCTCAAATCCCGAGATTAATTTTAAAGAGCAGAAAAAATCCCGTGATTTTTTAAATAAAAAGTTATTTACTTTTACACAATTTAAACTACTGCACGCACGACGTTGCCAAACTTACATCAATGAAAGAAAGAAATAAAGAAGTAAAGAAATCCCGGGAAGGTCCACATTAATATCAACATTTCGATGCAAGTACATAAATAACTCTACCTAATTCCGACCTCTGATCATAAATTATCGAAAAAATCCTTTTTTTTTTTTGGGGTCATATTAGCATTTAGAAAATAGGTGAAATTTCGTTTTTGGTGAAATAACATAGGCTTTCAGGTGTCATGCATGTTAATTAGTATGAGTAGTAGAAAAAAAAGGAAAGAAACATGTAGTTTTATAAAAATATAGGACTAATATATAAATCTGAAGGGTTTTTAATGAAGGTATTAATCTTTAAATCTACAAGTCGAGTTTGAGAAATTCCTGTTCTCCTATTTCTTAGTTTATTAATATAAACATGGTAAACTAACATTAATTACAAAACTGGTGCCAAACAACGCGATTATACTATCATATTTATCGCCTACAATCGGACGGTAATAAAAGAAATGAAGGTAAAGAAATAAATTGATATAATAAATGTTTTTATTTTTAATAAGTTGTCTTCATATTGTTACAGGCTATAGAGGAGGGCCTCACACCAAGACAGATATGTGACAAATATTTCGAGATTCACAATGCAGTTTATCGTTGGTTCAATATAGGATTCGATTACTTCGGCCGAACGAGTACCAACGAACAGACAGAGTGAGATATTAATTATATATCTAGATTGTTTTAACATTAGTAGTCAATAAATAATACTTATCGAAAAAATCCAGTATAGTATTGTAACTGTAAAATTGATAAAATAATATATAATATTAGTATTCTTTTCAAACTTAGTAAAACATTAGGTATTTTAATTTCAATTTAAGTCTCAGAAAATCGTTTAAGTAAAATTAATTTAGAAACCTTTTTTGTAATAACTAACCCTGTATATTTTTTATAAATTATGTGTAACCGGTGGACGATAACTGTTTATTTTTTTTATATTATGAGAGACGTTATGAAATTTTATTATACGTCATAGGATTTAAGGGCCATATTTAAATGTCAAATTATTTGCTAGGTTGGAGCCGTGCCGTTTAAGTGTGCTATTATCTTTTACATTATTTGACTGCGAGTTGACTGTAGATGAATAAGAATATATTTGGTCTGTGGTCACAAAGCTTTGTTGATTGATATGACAAACTCAAAAAAAAATTAAAAATCATTAATAGATTACGAATTTCAATTAATTTAACGCAAACACAAATACCACTTAACAATATTAATTCAAACATACCCATTAAATTCGGATCGATTAAAATCAATTGAAATATCTTTTTTGTTCAAAGATAAACGACATGATAGTTAGGCATTCATTTAAACAATTACGTCACAGGCGTTTTTGCGTCAAATTGAAATGTTGTTAAATAAATCACGTTTCATTTGCATTTAAATTACAATTAAATAAAGGAAATCGAAAAAATACGATTTTCATAGGTATATTTTAACCCTATAATTTAAAATAAGTTCTTAAATAATGTCAACTCTCAGATTATCGTATAATAGTTTTTTCTCTCAAACAGAATAGCCCAGAAGATGTTCCTGAAGCTAATGGACAACGGGTTTGTGTTACCGCAGTCTGTCGACCAATTGTTATGCGAGAAATGCGACAGATTTCTGGCTGACAGGTTAGTTTCGTAGTAGGACATAATTACTTTTAAGTTTATTTAAATTCATTTGAGTTCTGTTCGTGAACGGTGCCGAATCTAAGTAAAAATAAGAAATTTTTTAATTGATTGATCTAATGACTAGAAATCTCACTATTAAAATTAAAACCATAAATATAAAGTGTGAAAATACAGTAAATAATATGTCTCAAGGAGTTCATGCATTGGCTAGCGCGTTCAGTCTGTGGCACGGCAGTGAAGCAAGTTTCGCAAAGGCTGGTCATATGATGGACGACCAAAAATTTATTATCTCGTTCTCCGTATTTCGGAAGCCATATTAAGCCGTTACTTCCGGCTGCTCCTGCAGTCGTTAACCTACTCTGGGGCTTTGTGGTGGGTCATGGCCGGTCCCGATTCTATTCGATTCCATCCATAGGCAGGACCTATGCCCCAACAATGGGGACATTAATAAGCTAATGATGATTATATTGATATTAAATGTTGTTTCTTTGTTTCACTACATCAGATTCGTTGAAGGCACCTGTCCTCATCCAGGCTGTCTATATGATAGTGCTCGGGGCGATCAGTGCGACAGATGTGGGAAACTTATCAATGCCATAGAACTAATAGAGCCTAGATGTAAAGTTTGTGGACATAAGCCCACCGTTAAACCCAGCGAACAACTCTTCATACAACTCAATCAGGTATATTTATATCACATGTATGAATTTCATCTATATACTTTTGTGGGTTTATATATTTTAAACTGACATCAAAATAGGAGGTTATAGATTTGATGTGACGAAAGTCTTGTTGGGATAATGAATGGGCCGGCTCGACCGGAGTGATACCACGGCCTCACAGAAAACCGACGTGAAGCAACGCTTGCGTTGTGTTTCGTCGTGTGAGTGAGGGTACCGGGGCCCAACCCCTCCCTATTCCCTTCCCTCTACCCTTCAACCCTTCCCTCTAAGGCCGGCAGCGCGCTTGTAACCCCTCCGGTGTTGCAGGTGTCCATGGGCGACGGTAATCACTTACCATCAGGTGATCCGTCTGCTCGTCTGCCCCCTATCCCATAAAAAAAAATGTAGTCTGATGCACATGTATGGTAGTCACTCGCTTTCTCTATTGAGAATTTGAATTTCAGCACGTCTCAAACTGTACTTAAATGTCACTTAAATGGATTTTCGTTCCTGAAAAGTAAAAAACTTAAGTTATGGAGGATTATTAGTAGTGATTTATACTTTTCTTAATTTTGAAAACGGCACGAGAATGTTTAACCGCTAAGTTTTCTCAAATTAGTCAATCTAACGTTACGTTAAATTACCTATAAAAGTTACAACAGTGTAATAAAAACTTGAAAAATATTTTTATTGAGTATTCAAATACTCATTAGAGAGATGTTTTATACTTTAATAGATAAAATTTTGTTATTTATGATGTTAGCTGGTCCTACCAGGTTTATGGTGTTTTACTTATAACCCTGTATTATATTACTAGTGAATAAATTTTCTGTGATAAGAATGTTTAGTTTTTCTGTGGTCGATTTTTTTATTAGGTTTATTTATAGTTTATATTAGTATAATTTATATTAGTATTATAAAGAGGAAATATTTGTTTGTTTGTTTGCAACGAATAGGCTCCAAAACTACTGGACTGATTTTAAAAATTCTTTTATCTACGGGAAGCTATATCATATGCGATGAACATAGGCTATATTTATCTATATTTTATCTTAATATTTTATCCCGAAAAACAGTAAATTAAAGGCTGTAAATGGGAGTGGAAGTAAAAATAGGGAACTAAAACGTCACTATTGTAACCATTGTTTAATATTTGTCTTTGATATGAATCGATATCCAATATCCAAAGACATGATTTATTTAAATGTCATTACTTATGATAAAGAGCTGATAAGTTTCTTTCGCTTGTTCTTCTTGTCAGCTAAAACGTCCTGAACAAGTGGTAGGGAAAAAAAAATTTTTTTGACGATTCAAAAGTGCTTTTAATAAGCCTACTTGAATAAAAATATTTTCATTTCATTCCAAACAAACTAGTTTCCTAGGACGATGAAACCAGTCTATGTGGTGAAACTAGTCTCCTTCGCTAATCTTCACTAGTTGGAGAGGCACTTTTAGAAGTCTCCTAGGAACGCCGACGAAGCCGCTGGCGGAAAGCTAGTATTAAATAAATAATGATATTGAACAGTTGGAGCCGTCGATTAGAACCTGGATAAGTTCGACATCCAATAACTGGTCCCCCGCGGCCCGCGGCGTGTGTCGGGCGTGGTTGAGGGAACCATTACGGGCGCGCGCCCTCACTAGGGACCTGCGGTGGGGCGTACCCGTGCCCATTGAACGATATACACACAAGGTAACACAGATCTCAATAGGGCTGTTTCGGTAGTGAAAAATAAGTCACGAAATCGTACAAAAACTAAAGTTGACATCGTAATAAACTTAGAGATTTTAATTTTCGTGTTTAAAATCTCACGATTGTCTTATTATCTTAAAATTAAAAGTCGAAATTTTTATGTCGTCACTGTAGCGACAACTGTCATAGAGATATGCTTAATAATAATACATCGAATTTCTAGATGGCGCTGTTGTTAGCTTATTCATATATTTTAATTTCGTAATCGATCGTTAGATGGCATTGTTCTTGTTTTATTGACATCTTTTAATCTTCTATGTATTTGATATTTATGTTTGATATTTTTAATTTATTTTAAATTTATATCAATCTAATGTGTAATGTGAACAATAAAGAATTTTGTTTTGTATTGTATTACCGTATCAGCCGACGTCGCGAGAAGCGGCCTGTTACGTTGTGGCAGCCAATGTGACGTCTTTTTTTAGTTTTCATTTCATCTATCTATAATGTCTATACTAAAAATTTCAATCAAAAATTCTTTTTGTTAATAATTTCAATCATTCAAATTCCAAATTATAATATAATAAAAAATATAATATACTAATAATTGAATTAGTGCTTTAGGATATGCTTAAAATAATATGATTAGAGAAATTATGCGTAAATATAAATACACAAGGTAACATATACTATTGATGACTTAATACAAGTGCTGATTATAACTCATATCCATAGGTATTCTACGTTTGGTTCGACGCACCGATTGGTTATTTAAGTATAACGCAGAACGCGACAAAACAGTACGAGAAATGGTGGAAGCCTGATAAAGAATATGATGTGAGTATAATTGATCGGCTGACATTACTTTTACTATGTTTAGCATCGGTTTTAGATGGTAAAAATCTATTATTTGTTTGATGACATCCAGCTACCATACCGAATAACTATTAGGAATACCTTACTAGTCAAATGTTAGAAATACTCTTTTTATCAGCCAATATCTCATCTAGCGATCAATAAAGCCCGTTTTCATTAAACGTAGGAGTCGCCAAATCTGTCGCCCAAATATTTAGGAGTCGCTTAAGGTGAAAATGTATTTTACCAATGATTTGCGATATGAAGCAACGTCGAAAGTAATGACATGCGTTAGGCGGAGCCTTGCGCTAGCCATTTGCATAATATAACAGGTCACAAATGTGTCAAGGGATAAAAAATGTTTATAAACTAATCTACTTCGGCGATTCGTAAGATTAAGTGTTTCCTAGTTAAGATACGCCTTGGTCTAGTGAAAACGGGTGGAGTTCCCAATCATATTAGCGGGATTTGCGAAAGTTGCCTAACTTCCACATTGCCGACTGAATGCGCTAACCACTGCATTATTGAACTTTAAGAATTACCTAATTATCCATTAGGATCTTTCCACTAGCCAAACATTAGGAATTATAGTAAATATGTAGTATATTCTCATAAAATGTTATCTGTACTAATATTATAAAGCTGAAGAGTTTGTTTGTTTGAACGCGCTAATCTCAGGAACTACTAGTTCGAATTGAAAAATTCTTTTTGTGTTGAATAGGCCATTTATCGAGGAAGGCTTTAGGCTATATAACATCACGCTGCAAATATTAGGAGCGAAGAAATAATTGAAAACGCGGACGAAGTCGCTGGCGGCCACTAGTTTCTTATAACTTTCTTGTTTGTACTTTGTGCAGTAAAGTTTCTTTATTATTTTTTATAATTTTCTATCATTTTCATCGTTATCATCATTATCGTTCATTTATATTTGTAGGTGAAACTGTATCAGTTCATGGCTAAAGACAACGTTCCTTTCCACACTATAATGTTCCCGGCCACACTAATTGGTATCAACGAAGGGCATCTACTTGTCAACTATCTGTTTGCGACGGGTGAGTTGTTTTTATGTTTTTTTAACGAACTCTTGAAAATAATACATATAACTTTGTTGTACATCTATCAAATCCAGGTGATCTTTTCTATAAGTTTAATTTCTCAAAGTTTAAAATCAAATGCTCACGTTGCAATTGTGTAATGAAAATATAGTTTTTCAAAAGTGTATCAGTCAGTTCATAAAATTATTAAAAACCACTATTGTTTATTTGTCAGCAGAAATAAAATTATTATTTTGAAAAACATTTTTATTTGACGCTAAAACGCCACGCTACTATTCTGTACGTGCATGACGTCATTTTTCATGATACTTGTTAGATTACGAGTAGATTTAAAAAAATGCCGAACGTAGCTTAGTCCTGGCGAAAGAATTTACAGTAGGGTATCATTATAAAATACTTTATGTTAATATCAAAAATATTGCTTACTATATATAGCTTTTACAAAGTTTTTGTTACGTGGCTAATCCGGCACTGAATTCATAGTTCTACTTTCTTCATGCCAACGCTGAGTTTGTTTATACATATTTATGTATCCAGTTATGTGTATACTTGCATATATAACATGTATCATTTGGCCAGATTTTTTGGTAACCCTGTAAGTGACAGCTAGTTATGATATCATGATATGATTTTGACGTAAAAAATAAACCAACAGATTAGGGCTGAAAATCGTTTGGAGAAAGGAGATGAGCCACGCTCCATAAGTACATAGTTTATCCCACATATAAGTCTTGTCTCAATCAAATTTCTCTCAATTAATTGATTTCTGTATTAATATATTCATTTGTGGCATTATCGAGTTAAATTAATTTTTGGGTAATGAATAAACGATAAAAATAATTTTATTGAATGAAATTAAAAGTATATGAATGTTTATTTTAGAATATCTGAACTATGAGGAAGGCAAGTTCTCCAAGTCCAGAGGTGTCGGCGTCTTCGGCACAGATGCACAGGTATTATTATATTTATCAGTAACCACTGAACACAAACAAGTATGCTAACTTTTTCTGAGATAGAACTTATTTGTTTTCATTTGTTTAAGTAGATAACTTAAATATCTATGAAAATACTTTTACTGTTCGCGTTAGTCTCAAGTACTTGAGATCATCGATAGTTAGGTCTCTGATGGCAGCTGGGTTTAATTTTTGATGGTTTTTATATAAGATAGTGTTAAATAGATAGATAATTAATATAGATAGATAACACTTTATTGTTAACCCCAAAAACAAAACATACATAGAACAAAAAAAAATAATTGTAAGCTATGTGTCACAATCGGCGGTGTACTATACAGCAATCTCTTCCAGACATCCTTTGGAAGGAGAGAGAACTAACTTGAAAGTACGGAGGTGTATAATGATCTTAGATGATTATCTTTCAATAAAGTTTTCTATAAAGACCTAAATAATTTTCACAACACCACGACTGAAACGTTTTTAGTCTTAAAACGATTCAACTTTTATTCACAGGGGTATAAAGAAAAGGTTGAAAACCACTGCTCTATATAGTTTGTATGTTGTGATATTAATATGGAGTAGAGAGGACAATATATATTTTTTTTCATGCCAGGACACAGGTATACCGTCGGACGTGTGGCGGTTCTACTTGGCATCAATCCGACCTGAAACTTCAGATTCAAGTTTCAGTTGGGCAGAACTCGGCACTAGGTAAGCCATCATTGTTTATACCAGCATTACTCAAAGTGTGCCAAAGAGCTTATGTTATGATGTAAACAGGTCTTGAATCTTTGATAATTTTGCTTTGATTTTTTTGACTGAATTGCAATTTATTTTTGCTTGTAATGTCAAAAATAGAGAACTAAAGATATTCTTTTAAAAGTGGCAACCACTACTCATGTTTATTAAAATGTGACGTCACTGTTTAAAAATAACACGAAATTGATTGATTTCGCGAATTAAAGTATGTTTTTTTGTTTCATAACATTTTTTTTGAAAAATTAAACTAATATATTAGTTGCTTGCTGTGATAAAATGTTTTTTTTTTTGTGTTTTATAGGAATAATTCTGAACTATTGAACAATCTCGGCAACTTCTGTCATCGATCATTGAGTTTCTGCGCGAACAGTTTCAAGGGTGTAGTACCGGACGTGACGCCGTCAAGGGATGACTACGAACTGATCGCACTAGTCAACAGAGAGATGACAAGTGAGTATAACTGTATCTTATAACAAGTAAGATGATTGGGTTAAAAAAAGAGAAAATATTTAGTCCGTATGTCAAATGAAATAGGAAAATATTAGATAAGTATTATTTGCTTCAATTTAACTAAAAATGACATAGATAATAAGCATTGAAGTTGAGTGCGGACTCGCTACGTTACAGTTTTGTAGAAAATGTACAAAGTCATGCGACATTTCAACTCCGTAATTTATTTATACCGTAATTTATTACCGTACTGTAATGTATTGAATTATATTTTTTAATAATCTACCCGTTGGATAAACAAACAAAATTTTGTCATCTCGCCTCTTAATACGGTCTTTAGCCTCACTGCTAATTTATACGTAATAATCGCATCTCAATAGAGCCACAAGTACTTGTATTCTGCCATTATACTATCTACCTAAAGTCGATTATAATAAGTGCAATATCTTCCTCACATCAACGGTGACAGATGTATTTATTATTTTGTAATATAGTATCGAGAAAAGTATTTTTAATGAAATATACATAAAAAAATCACTTCGTCCCTGACCTCCCATCGCAGAGTGCCAGGGACAAAGTGGAGTTTTTAATAGCATTGTAAATGCATTATCATCAAATATAATAACGAGAAAAGTGTCATAAAGAGTTGTAGTTGAAGCGCTATTGACTGTCCATAATTGTGTATTTTCGAATTCAATACACAAAATTGCACAAAAACCAAAATTTACATCGTAATAAACATAGAGATCCAGTATTAATTCAAATATAGTAGAATGCCCTATTACGCTACATTAGTAGAATTACCTATAGAGCATCTATTCTCTTTGTCTTCGAAAGAAAATTCGGAAGACTTTATCATAAATTATAGAGAAATGTGTTTCTTTAAGGCTGAAACAAACTAGGTCTTCTGGCCTTAGGGATGGCGATGCCTTGAAACGGAAACTGATAGGCTGATAATGATGATAACCGACAATGAATTATCTCATAGGTTACGTTCAGAACATGGAGAAAGGACGTCTCCGTGATGCCCTGAAGCACGTGATGTCTATATCACGTTTGGGCAACCAGCATATGCAGTCTGAACAACCCTGGGTACTGCTCAAAGGATCAGACGATGACAAGTCAGTTATATTTACACTATACCTTGCATTTACAAATCTTATTAGTTAATACTAATAAGATTTGCAAATGTAATAAGTTTTTTTGGTTACTCCAATATACATTTTAATATTTAGAAACAGAATTTAGTCGGATAAATAAATAAACCATCAGCTATCAACTAAATAAGATAAAGTTTTTATTCACAAAGCTATACTGATATTAATCGTATAGAAAGATATTTAAAATTGTTTTAGTTATAAATCATATACAGGGTTATTGCACCGTTAAAAACAACGTTTACTGTGCGAATTTTTATTATTAATTGAATTATAATTTTATACAAAACTTTATTTTAATCTACTGCTCGAATGTAAATAGTTATATGTACAATACAACACCAATATATAGGTTTTACCTATAGTGCGTGAGTGTAGCGTTGCCCTTTCGTTTATGAATATTGTGCCTATAAAAATACAATTTATGATTAAACTCATAGATCAAACATTGTAGTTTTTGATGTTAGCTATCATCTACCATCAGCCTGCGAGGGTGATGGTATTTTACTAATAACCCTGTAACTGAACTGTACTGAAATACAAAATATTATTTTTTTATAATATAGTTAAATGATTTTTAAGTATTTTGCTACAAGATGTTATTAAATATGTAGGTTTTATATCAAAACTTGAACTAACTTTAATAATTATCTATATTTAATTATTATTATCAGTCAGTTTCCTTCGTTAATATTTTTTAGTTTTTTTTTTAACAGGCAACGAGGTGCCACGGCGATTGGTTTATGTTGCCAGCTTGTAGCTCTACTGTGCACATTACTAGCTCCATACATACCGGACACCGCCAGGAAACTGAGGCAACAATTGAACGTGAACGCTACAATGCTCAGACTCAACCCAGAGTAAGTCACTAAATACAGTTAACAGCACGTCAGGTTACACAAATATCTAGCGGGTGATATCCTGGCGGGAAATTTTAAAGGTTGAAGTAAGGAGCAGCCGTGAACACCAGATACATTTTTTAGATCCCAAATTAAGTACAAAATGATCCTTAGGACAATCACCTAGGTGTATATCTATACTAATATTATAAAGGTAAAGAGTTTGTTTGTTTGAACGCGCTTATCTCAGAAACTATTAGTTCGAATTGAAAATTTATTTTTGTGTTGAATAGACCATTTATCGAGGAAGGCTTTTGGCTATATAACATCACGCTGCAACTATTAGGAGCGAAGAAATAATGGAAAATGTGGAAAAAACGGGGAAAATTATTCATCCTTGAGGGCTTCCGTTGCGTGCGCTGCGAAAACGGTTCAAGATACCAAAAATATATGTATGAAAAACTATGGTATGGTAACAGCAATCGATACCCAAATAAACAGTTCTCTAGGGATCACGCGAGAGAAGCCGCTGGCGGAAAGCTAGTAAAATAATATATAAACAGTAGTTTATGCAACTGTCATATAAGACGGGGTATTAAAATACGAGAATCTGTTTATCGCATGAGGCGTCGCCGAATCCGATAATAGATTAACTCGAGTGTTTTAATACCTAATTTTTATGCAGTTACATACACTACTTTATCTTCACTCATAGGAAAAAATGAAATAATTTTGGAATCCTGATTACACACGATGGGCAAAAAAATGGATGGGAAGCGCGGAAAATTAAGTTCAAACTATGCATGCGTGCGCCATTTTTTTCATATTCAGCCTAAAACCATACCAAACAACTATCGTTCGTTCATATCGTTCATTATACTAGTTGAATGAATAAAAAAAGATAGTGGTACTATAATGAGTGTTTCAATGCAGTTGCTTATAAAGCGCTATTTTTTTAATCCATTGTAAACACCGAAAGTGATTCTTTAAACACGTGTTAAATAAAAATGTACTGAAATCCTTTACTGCAGTGCTTAAAAGTATTTTTTTAATTTTTTTTGGCCTAGCATCAAAGAAATAAAATAAAAAAATTGATGAAAATATGTCAAACTTTAGAGGCAAAAGTATTTCAAGGAGCCTAGAACAAACATTTTCAAATAAAAATGTATGACACGAAAACATGTCTAATATCACGTTTAATTTTGACAAATAATTTTTACCTTTAATACATACTTAGTTTTATTAACCTATATGTTTGTTTTATTTCCTCGCAAAAAGCATTGAAAAATGTTGTAAGAAACTTGAGCGTAAAAGGTTTTTCGAAGTCGTGCCAATGAAAACCCACACTACGCTCGTGTTTTCAATTTGGCCCTTATTCGTAAAACTTTACTTAAAATCGCTGTTAAAATCATTGAATATTCTTAGGAATCCAGTATTCTTTCAATATCTGCCGAGTGGGCATGTGATCGGAAAACCTGAGCCACTGTTCGCTAAACTGGACTCTGATATGTTGGAGAAGCTGAAGGCTAAGTACGCCGGTACACAGAACGAGAGGGCTAATGCAGTAAGTTGAAGTTTGGTATATCTTTTTTAAATGAGTTTTCGTAATAAGAAACGCCAAGGACACAGCCTCTACTGGCGTGAACCTACAGGAATAATTCGTAATTAGTGCATAAATTTTCATATTGTATGTGTAAAATCGTGTCTTCTACGTCGCTAATTTTTGTTTTCTAAAATCAAGCACAATATGAGCATGGCCTAACTGTATTATCAGCTCAAACAAGCAAATCTTTATCCCAGAAAAAATATTCCAGCTTTCGGCTGCGATTGCGATTGTGAGATGTTTCGTATTTCGTGTGTATTATTATTTTACTTATCTATAGTGCATCGATAAAGGCTACGCTGTTTTTCTTTTTGCATAAAAAATAAATAAAATATTTAAAATAACTAAATGATGTTAGTGAGTAGATATTTGATGTTCGTGTTTAAAAGTAGCAAGAGTCATCAATTTGTTTTGACGTTTTAAAGACAGGAGAGAAAATGATGTCAAATATATTCCCGTCTTTTAACATCTCTTTTTAAACTACTAAAATATTTGACCGATGACGATATTTTTTTATACAGAATGATGCCACGAATAAATCTCAAAGTGTAGCGGCACTAGAAGCTGCAATCTCTGAGCAGGTAATAATAATTTATAATTTTGTTGATTAATATGTATTATATAGTAGTGACTCGGTGACATTCACGACTGCTTCACATGTCATATCTAATTATTAATATCTATGTATGTCATTCATCTTAATCGTAAGTTTAAAATATATTTGTAACAATATTTGTTTCGGCCAGTTAATTAATTAAATTCACTAGTTGCAAAAGTACTTAATAAATACTTGAGAAATTCATAGGTATCGTGTAGATTAATGGTTAGAGCTGGCATTCAGATTGCGAAAGGAATATTTATTTTCCATCTCGGGCAATTCCATCTGGAGCTGGAGATTTTTTTAACAATATAGTGGTTCATTATTTATTTCTTTATTCAGCTTTTTACAGATATTAATTAAATAGATTTATATATACGATTGTTAATAAAAAAAATATATATACAGGGTGAAAAAGTCAGGAAACTGAAGGCGTCCACAAAAGACAAGTCGGTGTGGCAACCGGAAGTTAATAAACTCCTAGAACTTAAGAAGCAACTCACCAACGCTCAAAGTAACGCGCACACGAACACTCCAGCGAATACGTCTACAAATAACGTAGCTGCATTAGAGAAAGCTGTGGCGGAACAGGTGATTATCAAACCAAATAATTATTTATTTACAGACTTCTTATACATTAGGTTGAACAAACATAGGTAAACAATATCTATAACCAATATCTATACGACGGAAACAGTAAATCAGCCAATATACAGAATGTAAAACCAAAAACGATCAGCATGGGAAAGTCCGAAACCACATGAAATACGAAGTTCCACTCCCGAGAACCATGTTTTATCAATTCTAGTAAAAAGAAACTGCATTCATACATTTCCAAAAATAACTAGTTTTTAGTTTTCGAATCGAACCAGGACGTTTCGAAACAAAACTTACACTATTTCTCAACAGACACTCATCAAAAGTCATCAATGAGCAAGTTTTATTAATTATGATGTAAGATATCTATAGTCTGTTCATGTTCCTCTGAGACAAAATGTAAACAAACTGGAAAAAGGTTCTTTAATATGTCAAAATACAAATGCATTTAGAATTATTGAAAAAATAAATTGACATTAAAAACACCTAATATTGAAGCTGTTCCTAAACATTGGACGTATTATAATACTACTAAATTGAGGAGTAGTGATAAGGCAAATACTTTACGTAGAAACGTGAAATTTTGAAATTAGTCTGGTTATACTGGCCATTATTACTCTATCAACTTGTTGACTCGTGCAAAATGCTTTCGTTAAATTCTTGTTATTTGTTTATTCCACTTGTTAAGTTTGTTGTTTTCTGTTATTGTTGTTTTGTTGTTATATTGAAATTTTCGTCTGAAATTATGAGTGAACCTGGACCAAGCACAAGCAAAGCTTGTACTTTTCTTCATCAAAGAAAAGGCATTCCAAGAACACCCCCTACGTTAAACCGAGAAAGTGGCTGTTATCAATGTGTTTAAACATATTGAGGAGACATGGCCCAAGGATTCGTATCCTTACAAAAAAGATATCGTCAACAAAACGGCAGAAATAATGGGAATATCACGCGCAACTGTGCACAGGATTATTGAAGAATCACAGTGGTATGACTTTCACCTTACCACTGTGAATTAAATCCTCTTGAACTGATATAGGCCCAAGTCAAAGGATATGTCGCAAAAAATAATAAAACTTTTAAGTTAAATGAAATAAAATCTTTATTAACCGATGCTCTAAAAAGAGTAACAGTAGGATATTGGCGAAAGTGCATTAACCATGTCATAAAAGAAGAACAAAAATTTTTAAAAATTTATGGGTCATAGATGATTTCGTTGACCGTTTTGTGATAGAAGTTGGTGCGACTAGTTCCTCAGAGGAAGACGGAGAAGATTCTGAATAAAATTATTTACTCTAACAATTGCTAGTTTTATTTGAAAAAGAAATAGATTTATTGTATTGCATACCTACCATACAATAATTTGTCCCTTTAACAAATTTTATTTACAAACCAACATTAATAAAAAAGTTTGAGAAACATTGGTTTGTTTGTTTACATTTTGTCTCAGAGGAAGTTAATAGACTATAGTCCTGCTGGTTTGTTGTTTTACTAATAACCCTGTATATTTTTTTTTAAAGTATTGATAGCCTAAAATACCATTACGTTTTAGTAAAATATTTTATAGATTTGCCAGTTCATTAAATAGTGAACTTTGTTGTGACGTGCTGGTAAATAATATATTAATTATTTACATTTTGCTTTTCGTGCCAGGGCGAAAAAGTCAGGAAACTGAAGGCGTCCACAAAAGACAAGTCAGTGTGGCAACCGGAAGTTAATAAGCTCCTAGAATTTAAGAAACAACTCGCCACCGCTCAAAGTAACGTGCAAACGAACGAGTCAACGAACGCATCTACAAGCAACATAGGTGACTTGGAGAAAGCTGTGGCGGAACAGGTGATTTATCACACCAAATCAAAAATATGTAAATAATTTTTACATTGTGATATAGAGCAACCTGAAATGATTTTGTTTTATAATTGTTATGTTACAAATTTTTGCTAAAATTAGTTTATTAACATATGACATTAAATTAGTTACCACACACTAAAAATGAAACCACTTTCATTATAAAAACAATAAACATAAATGACAATGATTCACCTAGACATTCATATATTTTTCACCACAATTTTTTATAGGGAGCGTGGATTAGTAGTAGTTCCACAAACACAGCACTGTATTTCTAAAACTATTAATCGCAGACATGCTGGTATTCGGATATTAATGGACTATTTATGTATAAAATAAAAATATAGTCAACTAGCCTATTACTAATTTTTTTTTCTGCAGGGTGACAAAGTGAGAAAATTGAAAGCTTCCACCAAAGACAAGACTGTGTGGCAACCGGAGGTTAAAATACTTTTAGATTTAAAAAAACAATTAGCTGATTTACAAGTTAAAAACTGAACCTTATTTTATGTGTCGTAAGATGGAATCTTCTAAGTATTTATTTAATTTATGTATAGTTAAGATTTTTTTTGTATACATTCTGTAGTGAAGTAGTATGTTTATATTACTGAAACATATTTTGACGGGTATTAATATTGAATATTCAAGGGATGTATATATTTTTTTAAATAAAAGGTTTATTGTACCCTAATGAATATAAAGTATTAGTATGCATAATGCTAATCTTTTGAAAGAACTAATAACAGATGCGTAAAAGGAAAAATGTATCGAATGCATGGTTAATGAGGGAGCATTAAAAAGACATTTCTAAAATAACTCACTAGATGGCGGTACAATATTTTAAATATTTCTGTCACTAAACGACGACTTCAAATGGATCAAAGAAGTAATTTTCGTTACTTTACAAGTACCTAACACAATAAAAAAATCTGATATTTGTAATTTTAAAAAAAATAATTTCTGAACCTTAGATATTGAAAGAACCACCAAGTGTAGAGAACTATGACTACCACTTATTACTAATTTCTAAAATTAAATATGGTTTATTACTATGATGTGAAAATCCAAGCGCATTTCATAGACAATTTGATTGACTCTGGATTTAACGCAAATGCATCAAAGTATTAACGCCATCTATGTTGATGTATGGAACTGCTTTTTTTTTCTTACATATTTAATTGCAGTAATTTGTGAATGCTTATGACACTTTGATAAAAGATGTGTGAATGGTTTGTCGTAGTATAATGCAATGATTACCAATTGTATTATTCAGATATAAAAAGTGTTTTAAACGCTTTTTTTGATTTATGTTATAACCTAAAATAACATCTAAAGATTACAACTATGTACGATACTATTATTGCTGTGATTAACACCATTGCATAAAATGTTTAATTTACTTAGTGACACAAGCGAAGTGCTTGTATAGAAAATTATATTTCAAAATAGGTAACCAATCAATAAGAGCGTGCATCGCAATAAAAATCTAGAGATGTATTAAGATGGTTGGAATGAAATATTTTAATTTTCATTGTATAAGTAACGTTATCTAGTAGCGGTCTGTGCAAAATTGTTATTTTGTGCAAATGTGCAAAGAGATGAATCGTACTTATTCTAAATTTATAGTAGTTCTTTAACAGTAAATGTTAAAGAACAACTTTGAATCTTTTTTATTTGCAATAAAATATTATGAATCATTACGCTATTTTATTCGAACCCGAATCACATATAATAATAAAATTAATTGCGTATAAATAAACTTAGGTATGGTGAATCTAAAAGTTTTCACTTTCATATCGTCTGCCGCACCACACTGCTTTTTCTGACCGAATTTACCGTCTGTAATATACAAACGCATAATTATGAACTCAAAATAGGTTTTCATCTTTAAATATATATAATTATATTTTTTTAGTGAAAAGTGTTATAAAAAATCCACTTTCTCCCTGGATATCTGAGATGGGCAATTACTCTAACGAATTTTTCAAGCACTTGGTTATTTTTAATAATAGGCTATTTGACACTATTAAAAATGAGTTGCGTATTATGGTTATCCTGATAATAATTGTTATATATTAATAATAAGACAATAATCAAAGTTTATTTCTTAGAATCTGCAGATATAATATGTTCAGCTTTAGTAAAATAACATAAAGAAAATGCAACATTTTTAGGAATTTTAATGAACGACGAAAACACCCTGTAATTGGTTATCGTCGCAACCAATACATAACCAATAACAGGTTCTGTTTACAGGCATGTGACGTCACACGTAAACCGGAAGCTGTCATGTCTAAACAGTATTATTAGAGATACGCATACATAAAATTTGTAACTCAGTTTTATAAACAAAACCAGAGTAGATACAAATACAAAACATAAAATTCAACTTCAATTTCTCTTCTGTAATACTATTTGTTTACTTCGTAAATAAACAGTTGATAAATAGGTTATGTCTCATTGACATATTTACTAGCATGTGACGTCACAAATACCACGTGATCAACGCCATTACATAGAGCAGCGTTTTTGCGCGATTATGGCTTTTTAAATTTTAACAATAAGGTATTTGACACTATCGAAAATAAGTTGAATTTTGTGGTCATCTTGATAGATAATAATCTAATAAAGCTTATTTCTTAACATCTGCAGAAAAAACATGTTTAGATTTAGTAAAATAATGTAAAGAAAATGCAATGTTTTTAGGAATTTATTCAACGACGAAAACGTCCTATAATTGGTCGTCGTCACAACCAATCACGATTCTGTTTACTGGCCTGTGACGTCATCAGCTGTCATGTCAAAGTAGTGATAGAAATATACATAAAATATCGATACCTGTAGGTATCGAGTACTTTATAGTAATGTACTGATAACAGAATACTTTGCCGCTTCTGCTGATAAGAACTGCCAAAAAGAAATGTCTTATCCATCTGTAGGTCGACTGACTGTAAAATGCAAGCTCTGTCAACAGATATTAATGAGTCGTAAAATGTTTATGATATAGAAAAAAACAAAAAGAAAACCTTCAAATATGAAATATTTTTTTTTTAATACTTGTAGGGAATCCTTACCTAATTTTATCACCCATCTTTACTCTATATAGCTACTAATCTGTTGTGATTGTGAATCTATTTTCTTCTAGACTCGAAGTGTGTTTGTTATTTATAGAAGTATTAGTACATTGTGGCATTACGCACCATTTGTAGCTCATTTTATAAAGAAAAGTAGAGGAAAATAAAAAACGTAAGAAATACGCACTACGACTTCAATTTCTCTTCTAAATTATTATTTCAATTTATTATAAAGACAGTTGTTACTTGTTGATTTGACATATTTACTGGCCATATTTGACATATTTATCTCTGTTTTTATTACTCCAACATGCCTCCAATGATGTTATAATCTGTTAAAAATTTATAGAAAATAAAATTTGCAACAAATTAAATTCTATATCTACAAGTTTTTGTCATTAAAACCATCAAAACCATTTGCACTCAATAAAACTGTAAAATAACTAAAAAAAGTTTTCTCATAAATAAATAATACATTTTTTTAATAAATTGTCTTTGCCCTCTTGTGGCGAACAGTACAACCATAGATATTATACAATAGTACAACAAACAGTAGTCTATACACACGACAGCACGTTACATTACACACCACCAGCGTAAGCAGACGTTTGTGGTAGTAGTAGGAAAGTTCTATACGAAGCGCGGTCAGTACAATGTCCACAATGTATAGTCTGACGTGCAATCGTGTGTATGTCAAGTCAAGTGATATTATCAGCCGACCAATCGGGCGAGTAGCTGAACGCAACGTTTTACAATACAGCCGAACAAAAGTCAGCCAACTAATTAACTGACAATGAGGAAGTATTTAAAAAAATATAGTTCCCGAAATCAAACTAGATGACGCTACGGTACGTTCTTGATTTCTCTATGACAACCCTTCCGGTTCTCTTTCATGTGTAAAGGAAATTAGTTTTCAAACTCAATAAACAACTCATATTCTATTTGTACTTTTTCGTATTTGTATTGATATCTAAGTTTCGAACTTTTCCGATTTCAGTTTTTTAATATGTTAGTTAAAAAGAACGAAAATGACTGTCTTTAGTCCATTCGTTTTCTGCAAAATATTAACTTTTGCTAGAGTCGCCATCTAGTGGAGGTGCTTTTTAGTGCTTTCGTTTTTTTTTAATACGTCCTCATTCACCGAGTACACGGTTATTTGTATAGTAGAATTAGAAGTAAAATAAAATATATATTGTAGAGGGTGATTTTATCCAAAACTCAAAACTCATTGTTACGATCTGCAATTGATACAGATACAGGAGCAATCAAAGAGATAATAACAATATAACTGGGTGTTAGTTAATAGTCCTTATGATCCAATACAGGAAACTAACGCACATACGCATATAGCAGGTGAGTTAAGCTTAAACTTAATTTTTTTTTCGGTTCTAAACCTTAGGGGTTCGGAACTACCTTCTCAATAGGGAAGGAGGCGATGAATCTTTCATTGGATACACAGCCGGCTATTTATGAAAGCAGAGTAAGCAAGGTTTTGATTGCAATTATTTTTAACTTTTAAATCAGCCGTCTTGTTGAACAGTCCAAATATCATAACGATTCAACTAGAAAACTAGTCCATTGAATGGCACCATCCAATTAAATGGCTAGCCGCCTAATTCAACGACTGTTTTAACCAGTTGGCTACGTCATGTACAAAATGTTTAGAACAGTACTTCATAATACATATTAACGTCATTGAAACAATAGATATATACTTATTTGCAAAAAAAGAATGTGACCTTAACTTTAAACGTATATTTAAAAAATATGGGATTTAACGAAACTATTCGGCTGTCCCATTTCAAAACCTAGTAAGTCTATAAAAAGTAGAAATTGTGTTTTTTTGTTAAAAGTGGTTTTCCAATAAGTCCCCACAAGATGCCAAAATGCTCTATATCAAAATTCACTTCTATCAAAAGTTATAGGGTACCCTAAACCTAGTAAGTGCTTCTAAATTTATGAAAAGTTAAGTTTTAACCATTATAAAACCTAGTATGTATCTTTAACTATTTCAAAATTCTAGTATGTGTTAGCACATACTAGGTTTTTGAAATTGTCAAATCTAGTTACTGGGTTATGAAGTGAATAAATGTATAGAAAAAATATTTTGTGGTTTTCGTAAGACATTATAATATTGAGTTACTAAGTTTATAGTAGTAGTAAAGGTAAAGATTTTCGCTGTAGTGTATTTATTTATTTATTTAGTACACCAACGATTGTTACATTAATTTGATTTAGTAAACTAACTTAATTTAAATTTGCTGAATGTACAATCATTTACAGGTGAACATCGCATGCAAAACCTGAAATAAACATTTACTTAGTTTACGGATCACACAATCTCACTCCATGAAAAACAACTAGGAAACAGTTACAAATAAAAAAACAAGGAAAACAATATACTTAATACACTGAGACATTGAGAGTTGAACAATTATTTAGACACTAATCGCTTCAATTCAGCTTTAAACTGGAATAGAGACATCGCATTTACATCAAGGGAATCACTATATTTGTTAAATAATCTACCAATTCTCGATACTGGTGAATTTGCACCCAGAACCGTTCGGCGAAACGGACGCATAGGAAGTTTATCGACAAACAATTAAAAGACTTAATATTTCATTTAATATGCCAAAAACAATAAGTATGCGGATTGTTCATTTTTTGAAGTAAAAATTAAGAGAAATACACATAAAGGTACTGAAGTGCCAGAAGATATTTCGACTAAACAAAAAGAACATCAAGAAAAAGTTAAATTAGCAATGGAACCATAGACTAGATCAGAGGTTCCCAAACTTATGTCGTCTAACTTATGCCCATTTTGAATATTTAACTTAAACCACTATAACTTCTTGGGAGCTATATTAGCGGAAATTAAAATTTCATTCTAAAGAAGACGTAAATTTATTTTATTTATTCAATAAAACAGGACAAATATGCATATATAAATTATACTGAGAGAAATATAGAACCGAGTTATTATGAGCAATCTCTTAATTAACATTATGAGTTGATGTTCACAACTTATAGTCTGTAGTCGAAAGCTCAGTCAGTGTCGAAGAGTCAACGTAGATGAAATCACAAGTCACCGTTTAATAACTTTAAATATAATGTTTTGTCCCCATTACAATATATTAGGTCCTTACATACGAAATTGGTGTTTAGTATGGCATCAACAAAAAGTCGAATATTTTTTAATATACTATATTTATTTAATCAAAGTATAAACCATTGTTATCTATGCACTTTTGTCATCTCATAGGTAGGTCATTGATCCCCTTACTGAAAAATCCATTCGGACGGGAATCAATAAAATCTTTGAAGGCGATTTGCACTGCCCCATAGGAGTTGATTTTTTTTTCCTTGCAAGAAGTTATCCAAATTTCGAAAAAAATGGTAATCTTTGGAGCAAGGTCCGGGGCGTATGGTGGATGTCTTAGACATTCCAATTGAAGCTCTTCTAATTTGGTAGCCGTCTGTTGTGCAACGTGTGGTCTAGCGTTATCGTGAAGTAGCAGTGGCGTAGAGCGATTGACCAGCCTCGGTTGTTTAACAGCTAGTTTTTCTAGCATGGTTTGCACTTGCTGACAATAGACGTCTGCCGTAATCGTCTGGCCAGATTTGAGAAACTCTAATAAACGACACCGGCACTAGTCCACTTTCACAATACCCTTTAATTCTTCATTATAAACTTAGGTCTCCGGCCGTCCATGAGGCTCGAAATTTCCAGAACGAAAACGTTGGAACCAAAAACGTACTGTGTTTTCTTTTACGATACAACCGCCATACACATCATTAACCCTTCGAGCCTTTCCGCAGCACTGGTACCATGGTGGAACTCGTACTCGTAAATAACACGATATTTAAATTTTTCCTTATTTAATACTGGGTGACGTAAATAGAACAAATAGAAGAAAAAAAACAAATGAATACCGCCTAATGAAACACAAATACATGTGTAAATGGCTGAATAAATTTGAATTTACCAGCTTTTGATTTGGATAAGCTGATTTTTAGCTAATATGTTAAACCAGATCAAAATCTAGTAAAAGAACTTACTAGGTTTGAAATGGTTTTGGAAGTCAATTTTTACTTAGACGTTTTATTGATAAAATT